ATTACAATCATTAATATTAAATTCTTTGTATCCCAGTATATTAGCTTCTCCCCTTAATCCTGCAATATGTTAGCGCCCTTGTCGAAGCAATGTCATGCAGAGGAGAGTTGCATCGTGCCAGAGTAGTGTTGCACAATAGCATCATACAGGGGTTGTCAGAGCAGCGTTGTGGGGGCAAAGCAACAACGTCGCACAACATCACAGTGCAGAGGCAAATAAGGAATGATCCATTTTTTGGTTTTGTGGTTTAGAAGTGAAAAGAAAAGAAAAGAAAAAAACCGATGACAAGGGATTTAGTTTTGACTTTTAATTTAAAAAATATATATTTTAAAACTTTTATAAAATTATTTTTTTTAAAATAAAATAAAATTTATTTGATAATTTAATTTTTAAATTTTTTTAGTTAAATTTTTATTAGTTTTAGAATGAAAACAAAAATATCTGACTAGTAATTCTGTTTTTTAGTTTTAAAAATTGAAAATAAAAAATTATTTTTAAAAGTAGTTTTTAAAATTTACATAATAAATGAGTTTTTTTATTTTTTATTTTTAAAAGTAAAAAACTATATTTAAAAAGAGAAAATAAACAACTTTTAAATAATCATTTTTTTATAATTTTTTTAATTATTAATTTATTTTAGTTTTTTTTTCACAGCTAGTTACATGATTTCTCTTTAATAATGGATGATCTAATTTTGATCATATAAATTATTACTCTCTTTTGCATGTGTATGTTAATATATATATATATATAATCTCATACAGTGTTCAAGTTATAATAGAATTTTTTTAAGGTTTGCAAGTGTTTAACGAAGATTTTACATGACAAATGCATATGTTAACATGTAATGTTAATTTTAATATATTAATAAAATAAATTATTTTATTTTTGTGTATGTGTATATAATCTTTACCTTCTTTATCAATATCATTTCCAAGTAAAAAGACTTTTTTAAAAAATATAACTTCATATTATAGGAAAGAGATGATTGAATCTTGAATGGTTGGAGGTTGGAGAGGTGAAAGTGAAATATCATAAATTACTTTTTCCTCCACTAATATAAAAAATAGAAGATGACCCAAGATGTGTAATTGTGGTATAGAAGTCTCTTTGTTGACATTATGGATAAACATAATCCATGTCAAAATTTCTAACCTATAATGTTCAAGACATGATACATTCTAATTTGTAATTTTATTTGTAATTTCTAACCTATAATGTTTAAGACATGAAGAATATGGATGCTTTGTAGAAGAAGAAGAAATTTCTAATGGTGGCTCTTAGGATGTCATGGTTGTTGATGTTTGCTCTTGCTTTCATGGTGGCCAAAGGGTAGTGTCAGGATTTGATTAGGAAGTTGTTTTTATTGTTATGTGGATATTTGAAAAAATATGTAGTCCTTTTGCTAAATGTATTGTACTTAGTAAAAGAAATATCAATCTCTATGTGTAATGGAATGCTTTATACATGAACCTAAATGCAATGGAATGCTTTGTAGCTCACTTATTAGAATATTTTGTGTCTAACTCTAATTTGATACAAAATTTTAGTTACCATGGTTATTTGATTTTTTATATTGAATTTGTAATCAGTACATTAGTTAAACCATAAATCTAATTTAGGTAAATCTCAGAATATATATAATTTAAATACAGGTTTTGAAGGCATTGATATTATGAACATGTTTTATAACAATAAAATAGTTTATAACAATATAAAGAAAAATATTGATTGTATTTCATTAGACAAAGAGCAAAACAATTGTCTAATAATGTAAATCGAAATTCAATTTAAAATATAAAATAAACATCTAATACTTTGTCATTACTTGCAAAACAAAAAAATATCACCATGACCTTACTAAATAAGTATAAAATATCCCTATAAAATTATAAATTTTTAAATACACCATATGGTTTGTGATTTTTTGGTATCATGCACTTGTTTACGTTTTTGCTCCCAACATTAGTACATTCTTTGAAAATGCATTAAGAGTAAATCCTTTAGTTGGTACTCCAAGATTGATTATCTCTGCAATTTGAGATGGGTGTGTAAATGCTTTAGCAACTAGTCTATGATTATTATTTTTTGCACTTTATGATGATTTTTTTTTTTTTGTAGCATTTTTCTTCTGTGTAGTCAACAACTAACTAGTCAAGCATATTTATCCATTAAAACTTAAAAAAAAAGGATAAAAATCACCCTTATTTCCTTTTTTAGGTATCAATCTCTTAGGTATAGTCTTTCATTTGCATGTCCTATTTAGATTACTTCTCTTAAGCTGATCATCCACACATTTATTTAATAATAATTGTACAATTTGGATTACATCTCCTAAACTCTTATGCATTAGGCCGTCAAATTATTGTATTACTCACATGTAGTCCATTCAATCATGTCAATGGCTTTTCTCTTGGCCATATATACTTAGTGTTTAAATAATTTAATCTCTCATTTGCATCACCAATCAATTCATTTATCTTTATCTTTGGATATGCCTTAAGGTATATATGAACTTCTTAGCAAGAAAACTTATTTTTTACAGTCCTGCGGCAGGTATGAGTTTTAGTAAAATTGACAACTTGAAAATATTTAAAGATTGTGGAATTTGAAATCCTAAAATAGAAAAGGAAACATTCCATACAATTTACAACCATCATTTTTTTCACTTTTTTAGGCACACATTTTTTATGCACAATAAATGTACTCCTTAATTTCCTCCTTCTCCTTCATGCATCTTAAATCTAGGAATTTTTTTTTTCTAATAGCACCTTCATCTTCATGATTATTTGGACTATGTAAGTCTTCTAAATCACCATTTTCATCATCAAAATCATCAACATTTCTTAATGGCTTAAGATCCACTTGCAGATGTTGCATCAACCTCAACATTATTCACTTCATTCCCTTTAGCAAATAGTGGTATAGGCTTCCAATTGTCATCAAAATCACTATTACCCAATGATGTATTGTTATCATTGTCCAGTTTATCTCCTAACTTGCTAACAAAGTTTGCATCATCTTCAAATTTTATTCTCCAATTGGTGATTGCTAATATTCATTTCCTTCAATTTCACTATCTAACTCCACTCCCTCCATATATTCTGCTTTTATTGGCATTTGTATCAAAACATGGTTCAACAAATATAGGAGTATCAATTAAATGCCCCACAAACATTTCTACTATCTTAGTTCCTTTGACATTCTTTGAAAAGTTCAACACCTTATTATTACAATTTATTATTACAATTCAGTGATCTCAAACCATCAATAAGGTCGAATTTTGGATCTTTATATCATAAGTACTTGAAGAAGGGGTACTCAATGCTTTTTATTAACTTTATCAACTCAATATAAAAAATTTCATTTGAGTCTCTTTCTCAATTAGTTTCTTCCACTTTTTTATCTACATATAAGAAGGGATGTTCCACAAACAACCCACCATGGTGTATCTTTAATTGAATGACATGATGTACACTTAGTCTACAAAATACAATAAAAAAAGTATTTTAAAATATAGAAACCACATTTTTAATCCAAAATATCATACATCGGGGACTGTTAAAATTGAAAAACCCTAAATCATTTGAGTTATGACCATATATGTGACTTCTCCCAATGCATGAAAAGTGAATAAAAAATTATGTACATTGACACATAATTTTTTGGCAACTTTCAACCCTCCTCTTGAAGAATTCTTTACCATACTTTTCTTTTATGTGTGTGGATTGCTAAATTGAGATTTTACTTTTCTCTCTCTTGTACTTCCTCAATAAGCTTTCTTACTCTTTAAAAATGTTATTCTTTTATAAGTAAGTTTCCCTATAATCCTTCCACTCTATTCAACAAATTTATGCCATACTTTTTTTAGTTTAAAGTTTTCTTAGACATAAATTATAAATAAAAGAATTTCAACCTGTAACCTTAATATTTTAACACATCACATATAGGTATAATTTTATTAAAATAAAATAATTATATTTTAAATAACTTAATAACTAATAATTCTTATGGTTAAACACATTAGCACTGTAAATGTCCACATCATTACATTGTTAAAAATTAAATGTCAAATTAAAAAAAATGAAAATTTTTTAATAAAAAAATTAGAAGAATAAAATCACTAAATTAAAAGTGTAGAGATTAAAATCCAACAAATTGAAAAGTTGAAAAACTAAAAGTCCAATTAAATTTTTATATTAATATATTAATTTATATCTTTTATTTAAAAATATTTATTTTAATATTTATTTAAAGTAAAAAATTTATTGACTCAACTTTTTTTTTCTATAACTCCATTTTTCACATAATTCCTTATAAAATTTTATTATTCATTTAAGTGAATTTTTTTTCATTATTTTTGCTCTTTCTTTATTATTTTTTCTTTTATTTGTTTCTTTTCGTCATTCATTTTGAATTTTTTTCTCTCATTTGCTTAATTTTTTTCTGGTTCACTTGAATAATTGTTTTCCCTCATTTTCACATTTTCTTACTTAACTTTTCGCCTCACTTGCATAATCTTTTTCACAAATTTTACGTTCTTGGTCACATATATTAAATTTCTATTGTGATAATAATTCCCTATATACATGAAATCTGAGTTACTAAGTTAAGATTATATGTATATTTTTAGTCGGTGTTATTTACAAATAACATTTTATAAAATATTGTCTGCGTTCTATATTATAAACTCTTGGTAAAATAAAATAATTGTTAAAATTTCCATCAAATTTGATTAAAATACACTTAAAATGTAGGTTTTATTATATCATTTAATTTATAAATTATTATATTACTAAAATATTGTTAACCTTTAATATACTTATTTGAAAAATTATATCACAATATTTTAAAATTATTTTTAATTCACAATTCTTTCCTAAATTCATTGGCACGATATCCGAAATTAAATCAGCTTAATATATTATTTATTTGTCTTTCCTTTGTCATTTTCTATTTATCTTTTGCTTTTCCGCTTTTGCTTTTGTTTTCTCAGAAAAAGAAAGTTCTCCAAACAGAAACGTTGACTCATTGCTTATCTTCATCCCATTAACTACTTGCAAGTGTAGCAACCTACCGCTTCTTGCTTGCCCGAAAAAACACTTTTACCTCATAAATTCTCCATCAAACGAACAATCCTTTCCTTAATACCCATTCTACAATTTGCCAAACCAAATCTCAACCCATTCCTTAATCAATTACCAAAGCCCCCAACTTTTCCAGGAAAATTTCCCTGGAAATTTCATTCTCTATATTTTCTCAAGAAAGTTGCTAGCAAATTTTCTCGGAAAATGGAAGGTCGCCGGAGGGTAACGCTCTATGATCAAATGACAGCTGGAAACAGTAGTAGCCGAGACTCGCTAGCCAGCTTGATGCTCGACGACGTCGTTTTCAAGAAGACCGAAGCCGAAGGGAGCCGCAGGCTGAGCCGAAGCGGAAGCCGAACCCTCCAAGACATCATCTACGAAGATGAACCCAACAACAACAACAACGTCAAGGATCATCGCAAGCCGTGGCAAGCCTTGAAGGACAAGCTTCGGTTCAAGCACACTAACGTTAATGATAATGTTAACACAACAACGTTGCCATCATCTCAAGCTCGCCTTGACTCGGCCGCATCAACTCAGCACAACTCGGCCGCACAACAACAAAACGACGTCATCGAGGAAGACGTTAACGATTCAGATCCGACAACCCAACTGGAGTCTCCGGTCGACAACCCTGTCGCCGGCAGCGACTCCTCCGACGAGGGAAACAACCACGCGCCGGCGGGGATGTCGCTGATGGATTTGTTAGAGGAAACGGAGCAGGAAATGGATTTGTATAGAATGAGTGATGATGATGACGTTGAAGAATATGGCAAAGAAGAAGAAGGGGGTGGCGCAGAAGAAAAGGGTGGTGTGGTGGAGTATAATTGCTGCGTGTGCATGGTGAGGCATAAAGGTGCGGCGTTTATACCGTGTGGACACACGTTTTGCAGGATGTGTTCTAGGGAGATTTGGGTGAACAGAGGGAATTGCCCTCTCTGCAATAATTTAATTTTGGAAATTCTTGATATATTTTGAACACGATAATTATTTTTAAGAGTGACAATGTTAGCAACCCGATTGTTGAATGTATTTTTTTTTTAACATTTTTTATTATTGGTTAAAGTTTATTTTCAATAGATTCTAATTAATAAGAAAAAAATGTGTTTGAAAAATATTTTATAAAATATATTGTAAGATGGAAGGGTTTAGGCCTTTGAGAGTGAATTATGGATGATTTTACTATCTCATTGTTTACTCTTTTAACGTTTTTCATGGGTCACGAGATGATTCAAAATTAAGGTATCAAGGATTGTTGTAGTGTGGTCCTGCTTAGTTTAGGACCACCGGTGATCCACCTGTTTTATCTTCATATAACAAGTTGTGATATTATTTTCGGTATCGTGGTGCAGGGAAGTTGATGATGTTAGGAGAATGACACTGCAAACCTAATCTAAGAGGACAAAACAATGTTTTATTGGTGATCGTTTTTCTTACACTTTTCAACCATGACTTTTTACCACAAAACATTGTTCATCATTTCTTTAATGCTCTAAACAATTTTTACGGCATACAATCCCTTCCGAGTCTGGTTGATTTGAGACGAGAGGAAGACCCGTTAAGACACATCTTAATCTTCCAATATTACAGAACTATTCCTTTTCAACAAATAGTTCTTCACTCACAAATGAAATTTGGATGAACACTAGTAACACTTAAAAAAGACGACACAATGGTTTCTCTTTCTTATGACTTAACCATCGGTGTCCCTCCAAAGACACCATTATTTCCCCCTCCTCTTCTACATTCCTGGTGGAGGGTTCTACTAGCAATCTTCCTTTTCCTCCACATACCATAACCTTGTCGCCGCCGCCACCGCTGAAGCTAATATCATCTTCCTCTTTGCGGATTTCAAGTTATTCTCGACCCGATCTGACTCGTACATGCTTACTACAAGAACTCAGCTACACTCTTGCAGATTGTGTCACATGCCAATGGAAATGGACCTGAGCCCTGGATAAACAAATACATCTATAATGGGTTCTTATATCCTGCGGCAACATAACCCACCCGTTGATGTGTCGGGTTGAGAAGTTCAAGTTAATGGGTCCCAAGGAGGAAGATGAGATGTGGATGTACATGTGTCCGGAGAATGAGGGGATGCATGATCCAGGGGCTTAATGAATAAAATAATATTTTTTTTAAAAATAATTATCAAAATTAAATAAAATGAAAACTTATTATTTGTCTGAATAAATTTTTGCCAAATAAGCATGTATTTTCTATATAAATCAGACGAAATTATTTTTTTATTTTAAATTTAATCATTTCATTTAAAAGAGGGACAAAATACTTTACGTGTTGACATCTGTCACTCAATTCGTATAAATAAGAGACGAAACAATTGACAGGTGTCAAGATACTAATAATTCGTCTCAATTTAGGACGAAGGCATATGATTTGGACACATGTTTGCATCCTAATTATTTCGTCGACAAATGAGATGAAAAGCATATTCATTTTGCCTATATTTGAGAGAAAGCCCTTTTACCCATCGGTTCTTCCCCTTTCGCTACATCCTTTTATCCATCCAAATTTATCTATATAATGTTTGAAATGTGAAGATCTAAATCACCATGAAAGAGAAAGGGGTTCCTAAAATGTTTGAAAATTGGACAAAAATTTAAGGTTAGTAAGTTTTGAAACTTTTTTTTTAATATTTTTGTTATTAAAAAGTTTTATTTATTATAAATAGAGGTAATTAAAATTTATGAATATTTAATAAATCTATTTTTGTATATATTTAAAATAAAAATTAACATTTTAGGTAATTATAAAAAAATATAAAATTAGTAGATATTTAATAAATAATGTTATTTCATATAATGTTATATTTGTTGTGAATATTTATTTCATATATTTGGAATATGTATAAAAAATATTACTTTTTTATAATATAAAATGATGTGAAAAATAGTAGTATGTTTGTGTGTGTTAATAATAATTTATTTTTATTATTTATATAAATAAGTATAATTGTAAATAATTATTGATATATTTTTTTTATAAATGCAGGATGAATGAGATTATTATTATTGTATATTGGAATGGAAAAATTGTTGTTGGAAATGAAAGTGTGACATTTGAAAGTAACAAAAAAATGATAAAGATAAGAAGATGGATAAGTTATATGAATTTAAAGAAAAAGATTCATGAGAAGTTGAATCTTAGTAATAATCATGTCATATTTAGAATAATTTTTCGTTTTATGGTTGATTCAAGTGTTAAACAATACAATGCATTGGATATATGTGATGATGAAAACATTGATTGTATGATTAGTATGTATCAACAACAAAGTATTACAAGTCTTATTGAATTATATGTGGATATTGCATTTGGTGAGAGTTCAAGAGGTGGGTCAAATATGTTGAACTTAAGCTTATCAATGTCACTGCCTAACCCTATGAAAATGGTCAATATAAATGTTACAGAAGGTATAAATTATACTGATATAATTTATTTTTAAATTTTGTTAGTGACAACACATATTGAATAAGTGTTTGTATTTTGAAGGATATGGAGATCTATGCAGTTATGAAAATGAAGATGAAGAAGTCAATAGTGGTGATGAGACAAATGATAGTGATGAAGGATATATTCCTTTAGACAGCTCATCAGATACAGACATCGATGATGATTTTGATTCAAACTTTAATTTACAACAAGAAAATGTTGAGGTATATTGATTAAATTCTTTATTTTATTTTAATGATGAATATTGTATGTTTAAAAAAAATTGTAGGTGAAATACCTTTTTGGAATGTAAGTCCACACTACAAATCTATTAATTGGGACCAGACCAAGAAATTGAAGCAGAAGCAATTAGTGAAGATATTTCATGGGTTATTGGAGATCCGTTACATGTGGGTTTGTTATTTGACTCAAAAGATGAAGTTAAAAATGCCTTAAAACAACATGCAATTAGAATACATCAGAATTATTTTGTTGTTGAGTTAAAACCAACAAAGTTGCATGTGAGGTGTTTAAACCATAACAATGGTTGTCCATAGAGAATAAGAGCATCATTGCTTAAAAATTCAGTTAAGTAAAAAATAACAAAGTGTGGGAGTAAGCATACATGTCTCAACTACAATATCTCAAGCCCATACCAAACTAGATTTAGATTTGATTTCTTCATGCATAATTAGTAAGTTTTGAATAATATCTTATTTCGTGATTTCTTTTCTCAATTAAGATACTTAGTTCATTTTTGTTTTTGTTTTGTGTAAGTATGGTTAATCTTGAACCATCATTACCTATAAGTCTAATTCAAGTTATATAGCACAAATCCTAAAGAGATAATCACACGAAACAATGAAAAAAAGGATACAATTAATTAAATTAGGATAAAAATCTCCTTTAAGACTCAAAACTCACATTTATGGATTAAAATTTAATGTAGAGCAAAAAAGTAAGGAACTTAACTAATTATTAGTTTTCAAAATAAATAATAGTGTCAATATTAATTACTCAACATGCTCTTCTATCTGGAAAAGCTGGGTTCCATGAGGAAAAAAGTTTTAAATTATCATAAAAAAAAATAGCATAGGCACTTTACTCAAGAACATGCAATAACAATCATATAATTAGGAACCATTCTCCCATACTTAAAGAAAAATATTGTCCTCAATGTTTGAGAGAAATAAAATTAAATGCATGCAAGGAGGGCAAAAGAAGAAAAGAAAGAGGCTCCCTAATAATTATGGGCGCAATAGCTTCTGGTGAGGAAGCACGACCATGCTAAAATTATATGCATATTCATGCTTATAATATAAAGTTTTTTCTCATTACTGCGACTAAATGCATTAGAGCTCAAACTCCGTGTGGGAACAATCAACTCAGCTCCTTCAAGTTTCCAATATTCTTATTCTTTATTCTAAAAAAATAAAAGTAAAATTATAATAAATAAAAAAAATAAAAATAAAATAAAAGACACAAGTTGCCTCCTAGGAGCGCTTGTTTAACGTCACGAGACTGATATTCCTGTTAAATCATGGTGGAAAAAACATGAGTCTCAGAGGTGACTCTCTTGATATGTAGTTGTTTTCCCAACAGCTTCTCCTCCACAACTCCTGTCACACCAGAAAGATTAATCATAGAAGGAGAATCAAAATAAAGAGAAGAAAATTTAAGCTCTAAGTCAAGTGCTTATTAGTAGATTGTTTGGGCTTTTGTCTTTTCTTTTTCTGAGATGACTTCTTTCTTGGCCTTCTGCTTGGAGTTCCATTCTTTACAAAATTTAGAGGAGGGGGAGCAACATCCACAGTGTTCACAAAGTTACAAGTTTCTTGGCTAGAAGGGTTTAAAGAACTGAAAACTTGAAATACAACTTCTTCATCATCTAGTCTCAATGTGAGTTTTCCCTCTTATACGTCTATGATAGCCCTTGCAGTGGCGAAGAACGATCTCCCTAGTATGATGGGGATATCATCATCTTCCTTCATGTCAAGCACCACAAAGTAAGCTAGAAATATAAACTTCTCAACTTTTACAAGTACATTCTCCATTATGCCTTTGAGGTATGTGATCGACCTATCTGTTAGTAGAAGTGACATAGAGGTCAGCTTAAGTTTATGCATTCCAAGCTTCCTAAAAACAGAATAAGGAATAAGATTAATACTTGCTCCTAAATCACATAAAGCTTTATCAATATGAGTTTTTATAATTGTGCAAAAAATAGTAAAACTCCCTGGGTCCTTAAGTTTAGGTGGAAGCTTTTTAAGGACTTTAGCAGAGCACTCCTTGGTGAGCTTCATGATTTCATATGCTCTCATCTTTCTCTTATTGGTCAAAATCTTTTAAAAATTTAACATATTTGAACATTTTGGAGATGACATCAATGAAAGACATATTGATGTGTACTTTGCCTAATAGGTCTAAGAACTTGTGGAACTCTTCATCATAAGGAGGGTGACCCTGCAACTGCTGTGGGAAAGGTATCTTAGGCTCATAGGGCCTTGGTTGAACAGGAAGCTCTTCCTTCTTTTCTTTTTCATGCTCTACGCTTGAAGCATAG